TTATTATTTGTCACTACTTTTCAAGAAAGTGTGTAATAGTAAAATTCATGCAGAAAAATATTCTTCATATTCGGAGATTTACTCAATTGGATTTTTTAAATCATTAAGCCAATCTTTGTGTCTTCATTTGAACATATATATGATCACCAATGACACATTTGGGATAACACAGATGAGGCTAGGCATCCAGTGGATTGATAATCAGGTTCCCATCCAATAGAATAAAAGGAAAGGGAAAAAATACAATAATTAACTTTATAGACATGCAGTTTCACTTTATTAATTGTATAACATTCAAAATGGACATTTTCGGTTGGGTGAACTTCAACAGCTGTCAGCGATTATGGATTAAGAAGTGTGGAAACCATGTTGTGCCAAAATGAAATAACTAATACAAACAAATGATATAATCTGATCAATCAAAATGGTTATTAGATACATTCGATTCTGCATTTTTTAGCTCACCTCAACGAAGTTGGGGGAGCTTATGTAATACCCTCGGCGTCGGCGTCGGTGTCGGCGTCGGTGTCGGTGTCGGCGTCGGTGTCGGCGTCGGCGTCCCGGGTTAAGGTTAAGTTTTTTGGAGCAGTTTTCTTTTTAAGTACTTCTATGTCCTATATTGATTAGACATGCATGGAAGATGGTTCTAGTGTGTTTCATTGTACCAGTCAAAGTTTCAGATGCTGCAATTTCAGCAAAGGAATGACCAGGTTAATGTTTTGGAGCAGGTTAACATTTTTGGTGCAGTTTTTGGTGTAGGTTTCATTTCCAAGTAACTATAAGCCCTATGTTGACCAAACTTGCATGGATGATACATCTAAGGATGCATACTACCGGGCTTGCTTCGGATGCTGAATCTGACCTACATTTTCCGGTTGAGTGAACAGGTTAAAGTTTTTGGTGCAAGTTTCATTTCCAAGTAACTATAAACCCTATGTTGACCTAACTTGCATGGATGATACATCTAAGGATGCATACTATAGAGTTTGCTTCGGAATCTGAATCTGACCTACATTTTCCGGTTGAGTGAACAGGTTAAAATTTTTTATGCAAGTTTCATTTCCAAGTAACTATAAGCCTATAAGGTTGACCAAACTTGCATGGATGATACTTCTAAGGATGCATACTACCGTGCATGCTTCGGATGCTGAATCTGACCTACATTTTCCGGTTGAGTGAACAGGTAAAAGTTGTTGGTGCAGGTTTCATTTGCAAGTAACTTTACGCCCTATGTTGACCAAACTTGCATGGATCATACATCTAAGGATGCACACTTCCGGGCTTGCTCGGATGCTGAATCTGACCTACATTTTCTGGTTGAGTGAACAGGTAAAAGTTGTTGGTGCAGGTTTCATTTCCAAGTAACTATGAGTTCTTTAATGACCAATCTTGCATGGATGATACATCTAAGGATGCATACTACCAGGCTTGCTTCGGATGCTGAATCTGACCTACTTTTTGTGGATGAGTGAAAATGTTAGTTTTTGATGCATGTTTCATTTCCAATTAACTATGAGCCCTATAATGAGCAAATTTGCATGGACATACATCTTTGGATGCACACTAATGGACTTGCTTCGGATGCTGAATTCGACATACATTTTTCAGATAATAGACCAGGTAAAAGTTATGGGTGCAGGTCTATTACCAAAAAACTATAAGGCTTATATAACATTGTATAAACCAAACTTGCACAAATGCTACAAGAGATGAAAACTCTCAAATTTGCTTCAGATGCTGGATTTTGATTACATTTTCATGAAGAAGAACTAGTTTAAATTTTTTATGTAGGTCTATTGCAAAGTATCAGATCAAAATTGCTTAAATATTTTCATATTTGGAATGTACACTTTTTGTTGGTTAATTGTGTGACTTTGCCTTACTTAAAGACAACATTCGTTGAGGTGAGCTCTGTAATCTCTGATTACCTATGTTTAAGGGTTCAGAACAACAAAAGTATTTTACAGAATATCTTGTATACATCTGCACAAAAAACCAAATTCCAAAACCTACGGAAACCCATTAGTGCCAACCTGTATATATAAAGGAAACGCAATATATAAAAGCAAACCTCTATATATAAAGGAAATGCGATGTATATAAACATAACCTGGATATATATAAAAGGAAATGCGATATATATATAAACGAAACCTGGATATATATATAAAGGAAATGTTATATATGCAAAAAAAAAAACCTCGATATATATATAAAGGAAATGTGATATATATTTATTAAACAAAACCTCGATATATATAAAGAGAAATGCGATATGTGTAAAGAGAAAATTTTCCACTGCGTGACCTGTAGAGCTCGGCTGTCCATCAAGATTATATACAGATTAACTCCTGGCAGGGGGAATCAGTTATACAGTACTCATTTATAACTTATCCAGAATCGGCAAAATGTTGCTATGTAATAGTGTTTATTTGTTTGTACATGTATATATCAATGAACTGTAATTGCGGATCCAGGAATTTCGTAACGGGGGGGGGGGGGGGGCAGTAGAAGGCAGAGGGGTCTGGTGGCTGTACGGAATTTAGGATAATGGACCTATAAATTTCATATACAAATAAGGATAAGGATCCGCCTTTGATTTTATTACTAGTTTATATATATTAATGAAATAAGTATAATATTTATCTATTTTCTGTGCATTTATTGGCTTTACATTCGACATGCATATGATCAACTTCATTTTTACAACCTAGATCTATCTTGTTTACTGTTTCACAAAAACTTAGCCGTACTACCTTTGGGTTCACGACCGAGAATTTATGAAAATAATGTTTAATAGGAAGTCTCGTTTTTGATGTTCTTATTCAAATCTATTTAAATTCATTTTAAAAATAATTAACTAGTATGCCCATCGATTGTTAAAAAAGAATCAATATCGTTCGGAATGGGAGAGAGGGGAAGGATGAAGGTACCCACTTCATTTGAAGGTGACAAGGAAAATTAAACTGTAATAATTTTAGGGTCTTTAATGGTGTGGAAAAAATATAAAGTATTTGGGAATTAATAGAAAGAAACAAATAATTAGTGCATGCACACATACATAATTAAACTGCGGATTTTTGTCCCACGTCGTAAATTAAATCGATTTGAAATTCTCCATACATCATGTAAAAAACATAGTAAAACGTTAAAAAACTTATAAAGCATGATAAAACACACTTGTATTTTTGCACCAAATTATAGTTCGATTGAAAAGACCCCAAACATTAATATACATTTTAAGCAGAAAAGTCTCTGAAGTCTTTGAAATATAAATCAATTCAATTTAATTTATTTACACACTGTAAATGGTACACAAGGTACAGAAACATAAAAAAAACAACATATATACATATAATATAGTGGAGCAGACGCAGACAACACTATTAATTTTAGAGATAAATGTACATAATTTTTTCAAAGAATCAACATCATTTTGGCACAGGAAGAAGAACAGCAGTTTTTTAGCTTTAGTTTTAATCATCATAATTATCAAAATAAACAAATAAAGAAAACAATACACTGAATACCATCCTGAAACAGCCACACCAACTGATCGCAATCAAAACATTAGATTGGAAGCTGCTTATCGTATGTTTGCGAAGTCTCTGTTGTTATGAAGGTCATTAAACATGTTAAAGGTCAAGCGGTGGAAATTTTTCTCTTTATATATATATCGAAGTTTTGTTTATATATTTCGCATTTCTCTTTATATATATCGACATTTTGTTTATATATATCGCATTTCCTTTATATATATCGAGGTTTTGTTTATATATATTGCATTTCCTTTATATATATCCAGGTTTTCTTTATATATATCGCATTTCCTTTATATATCCAGGTTTTCCTATATGTATTGCTTTTCCTTTATATATATATATACAGGTTGGCACTAATGGGCTTTTGTACATTACGATGCGTAATATAACATAATACGAATCAATTTTCAAGCTCTTAGACATACTAGTACCTCTTTTGCCGCCTCTCTCATAAATTGTTTAGATTTATCATTCCATATTGCAGGGATCGTCAGAACCCAGTGAATGTCATCATCTTCCTTGATCAAAGCGTCCAGTCCTTTTACTTTAAGGTGGTTGAGAAGGTGATCTTTCAGATACCGTATGCCATGGGCAAAAACTGTCATAGCAGGGAGCTTCTTTTGGCCGCTTTCGTCTGATATTATTGTTTCACGGTTTAGAGTCTAATTTAAAATTACAAAGAAACAACTGTAAATGCAACAAAGTGCTATGTACATGATTATTTGACATGTACATGATTATTATTAAAAATTTACTTTGTTTTTTATCCGGTAAAACTTAATAATTCATAATAAAATCTGTCTTAGAAATGTTTTGATTTTTCAAATTTACTTTAATATTCTTATTATCCTAATTTCCTTACCATGTTATTATGTAACATCATCTTGAACCTCCGAAAGAAGTACCATGAATGATGTTTTTCTTCATTGGCAAGATCGGTGTACGTGTCTTCAGCCTCGTACCCGAACGAATGAAAACTTTGATCAGATTTCAGCAAAAGACACGTAGGAGTTTTCTGAGAAAACAAATTCTTGTGCCCAGATACCCATGTTGTATTGGCCATGATTTTTGTTGGATCCTTTTCGTATTCATCTTTGAAAGAGAAGGCATAGCCAGAGTAGGTTGTACCAAAGTCGATGGCAGCCACTAAGACTTTTATATCTGTCTTTTGTTCCAGCGACATCCCTAAAATAGTATAAACTTTAAGGAGAAACTCTTCTTATATTTATTTTATGTTAAGATTTTTAAAAAAATCACAGATTGAAGAGGACACTACCTCTAAGTGATGGTCTCAATAAGATTAAATTTGACCGTTTTATTTTTAGAAGATAAAGTCAAAGTCATTATCTTTTACAGAATATACAGAATTTTACAACAAGTATAAACAAAACAGTTAATAGTGATAAAGACTGAACATTTTGATATGATTATTAAATAAAATTCTAAAAAAAAAAAATGAAAATTTTCCTTTAATTATCAATATTGCATGACTGAAATTTAAATGTATTTGCAGAAGTTACATCCCTTATAATTTTAATTGTATTTCACCTTCTAACTGTATGAGTATGTAATAAAAGAATTACTGAATATTCTAATCTGCATTTTGGTAAGGAATAGTTGGAAGAATTTTGAGCAGAATATTGTGAAACATTGTCTCTTATGTGAGGTACTCTATATTGAATGTAAATAGGAACTAAATTATTGTGCATCTTCTACGTTGTTTCTAGATCTAATGCCTCGACTTTTCCCTATTTTCTAAAGGTTCCAATGACCCTTTAGTAAGAGAGAAAAAACGCTTTTTCACTTATGTTTTGCTCAAATAAGTTCTTTGATTAAAGGCGTTTAAAAGCGTTCAAGATTGTTGTATATTTATAAAATTACAATATTTTTGTACGCCGCAGTTTCGTTATAAATGTTGTTCCTGCAAGATTTTAAACACACCTCACCAATTTTAGTTAAAGTTGTAAAATCATGAAAAAGAAAGGAAATTAGGATATTTTAAATCCCTTACATCTTTATTTATGTCTTGTAAGCAAATATACTTTGCACATTTCATTTACCGGTAGTCAGAAACCAGGCACTCGAAGAACTCCTTAAAAAGAAGATTGATTCATGTCGCAAGAAATCTAAATGACATATTTTTAAGTCATTTGAGTAAAATCAGATGACTAATTGATATCTGTTTTTGTCCATCGTCGTGCGTTAACATTTGAACATTCTCTGCAACCGCTCAACCAATTTACACCAATTTTTGCCTAAAGTATCTATGGGTGAAGAGGAACAAAATTAAGAATTTCATGGTCCCTGCCCCCCCCCCCCGGGGCCTCAGGGGTAGGGCCAAATCCACTACAGTTAATGTAAAGTTTATAAATCTTCTTCTTTACTCCTGGACATCAAGCATTCAAACTTTTTTCATGATTATAATCAACATTAAGTCTTCTACCAAAATTGTGAAATTCATGACCCCAAGTTCAGGGGTTCTAGTGCTAGAGCTAAATAGATTATATAGTGAAAATGCATTATTTATTTGAAAATCTTTGTCTCTGCTCCTTGGCATCAAATAGACTAACCAAGTGCATAGTTATGTTAAATAAGACTGCCTCTTCCAAAATTGTGAAATTCATGGCCACAGGATCAGGGGTTTTAGTGCTATGCCTGGGCGTTTTAGATTACATAGTAAAAATGCATTATTCTTTGAAAATTTTCTCTGCTCCTTGGTAATTAACAAACTATAACCAAGTACATAGTTATTTTGAATAAGGCTGCCTTTTCCAAAATTGTGAATTCCATGGCTCCTGAGTCGGGGGTTCAGGTGTTAGGGTGGGCTCCATTGATTATACAGTGAAATACATTAATGCTTTTAAAATCTTCTTCTCTGTTCCTGGATAATTTACAAACTAACTAGGTAGATAGCTGTAATGAGCAAGAATGCCTCTTCCAAAATTTGGAATTTCATGGCTTCAGGGTCAGGGTTTTGGTGTTAGGAGGGGCTCTATTGATTACATAGTGAAAATGCATAAATTCTTTAAAAGCCTTCTATCTGCTCCTGGGTATTAAACTAATAAACTATGTACATAGTTATGATGTGGAAGGATGCCTCTTCCAAATTTGTGAATTTCAAGGCCTATGGGTCAGGAGTTCTGGTATTAGGGCGGGGCTCTAATGAGTTTATAGTGAAAATGCATGAATTCTTTGAAAATCGTTATCTTTGCTCCTGGGTATTATATCAATGAATATTTAAGTACCAGTCCACATAAAAATCAGACAAAGGGTGATATATGAGGGTTCTCAGAATTTGATGATTTTTCACTCATAAATTTATTTTGAAGTATGAACAATGTATGTAAAATGAAAAAAGTTTTGGGTCATGGTAACCATGGAAACCCGGCCAAAGAAATTTCCTTAGCAACCGGTGGATTTTTCAGTGTTGAAGGACAAAAAATCACCTAACTTTGAGGCTTAAAATAACAGGTAAATACCATGAGAATTATTCTTACTTTTAGGTGTAATAAAGATACACATTTATTGTGTTCTAATAATGTAATAAAAAATATTTAGGTCTTAAGTCAGTTCTGTGGTAGACATTGGAAGGTACACATGTTTTACAAGTTTTGCTGATTCAGCATTTTTCGTGATTTTGGCAATATTCAAGGCCAAATTTTAAAAATGGCCAGATTAATACAGTTGTTGCATGTATCTCACATAAAAGCAGAGGTATTTCTCTTTTAGAATTTGAAGTCAAATCCATGGGCTCTTTTTAAAATCGAACCTGTTGCCTAGCAACAAAAATGGGCTTTTTGATACATAAAATGAGAAACAATGTAAAAAGTTTACGGAAAAATCAAATGAACGGTTATTTATGATAAACAAGATACAAATTTTAAAATAGTATAATTAAATTCGGTCTCCCTAACACATTATTGAGTATTGCATAATTCTTTATCTCCATAGCAACGACAGGTTCTCCATAGCAACAAGGCAAAGAAAGGTAATTTTGGCGTGTATTCGTGTAATCTTATTAAGACTTATTCAAAATAAGTCAGAAAAATCTGGTTGAGCAAAATTGACAAAGAAATGTTGGTTTTATTATTGTTATTTATTTCTGGTACTTAATCAAACCATATTGCAAGGATTCCGTGTACATGACAACCAAATTTCCTATGTCTCCTGTAAAACAGATGTGACTTTGGGATTGTATTGTTTGTCATGGAATTGGATATTCAAGTAATATGCTGATAATTGCATGGTGATAGTTCGGAAAGACTTTAAAATGTATCAAGTTATTGAATATTGTTCAATGACTTATTTCCATAGCAACAACACCATTCCCCTAGCAACGACACAAAGAAAGTTTGACGCATATACATGTTACCTGTAAATCTTTATCTAAATCACGTCATGAAGAAAGAAATGATGTTGAAATGTTTGTTTTTCAAAAGTATTTTTAAACTCATTTAATCCATAACATAGCATTCAATGTAACATTTTCAGTATGGGATACTCTGTAGTCGTTATTCATAATATTGAAAGATTAGGCACTTATCACAGATTTCTCAGAAAGTATTACAATGTATGAATTAATTCCTCATGAAAATAAATAGAGAAATAAAATGAATAATGTCACTATAGAAACATTTTTAATGAAATTTCCAAATGAATAGGAAGATCAGGTTTAAATTATTCTATTGATACTTGTCATAGATTGGAGAGTTTTTTTTTTACAAACAAAAAGAACCGTTCGCGGTAGCTCAAAGGTAGCACCTACTGCGTTCCACAGTGGGATTCGAACCCGCGACGTAAGGATCAGCTCCTTACTTCCTGACTCTAGAGAAGACGCTCTAACCACTGCTCCATGAGGGCGACGTGGCACATTAAAATAAATCAAAATAAGAAAGTCGCATCGCAGTCAGTTACGGTTATTTACATAAAATTGAAGTTTACACCATTTGAAAGAAATATTGCAAGATGTCCAAAGCTAGATCAAATACAGATGAATTTAAAACATGGCTAGTCACACAAGTAGAAACTTTATCTTTGTATGTTGTTGGTGAGATTTGCATTAATGTAGTGCAAACATATTTCAAAAATTATGCAAACGATGGTCAGAGGATCATCTTCATGTATCCGGTTAGTTCATATCTTAATTTTAATGGAAATATTGTGCAACAAAAACAAAACAATTGACATCGAACTCATTCATGTAACACGGGGCCCATGGGCCACATCGCTCACCTGAGCACTGTGGCTAGGAAAAATCAATTCAGTAAATGCCTAAGTGGTCCCAATCCTAAAACGGGGGGGGGGGGGGGCTGATTTGAACAAACTTGAATCTATGCATACTTGAACCTGCACTAACTAAGGGTGGTTACATATTTTTTGACTAACTGTGGCTTTATTCCAAATAAGTTATGTACTTTTGTGGTCCCACCCAATCCTGGGGGTCATGGTTTTAACAAATCTTTATCTAAACTACCTGAGTATGCTAACATTTGAACAAGACCAATCAAGATTTTTATATATTTTTCCTATATATTCCTATGTAAAACTTTGAATATCCATTGTGGCTGTACCCCCGGGGTCATGATTTGAACAAACTTGAATCTACACTACCTGAGGATGCTTCCATATAAACATGACCAATCATGGCTTTGCTGTTATTAAGAAGATTTTTCCTATATATTCCTATGTAAAACGTTGGTCGTCCATTGTGGCCCCACCCTACCACCGGGGGTCATGACTTGAATAAACTTGAATGTACACTCCCTGAGGATGCTTCTACATAAGTTTCATCTTTCCTGGCCCAAAGTTTTTACATTAATACCAGCTATTTATATTGATATATGGTGGCAAGAAGTATAAAATTCATATAAAAGTCCATCCCCTCCCTTCCCCAAGTAAACTTTTGAGTGCTGAGCTGATTTGTTTTTACCTAGCCCAAGTGCTCAGGTGAGCGATGTTGGAGGTTGCTCCCACTACTTGGATACGCGTTGCTATGGGCCTGTTCTCTGGGTAATAGCGTTTGAAGCTCCAGAGCTACAGATTCCTTGTGAACTGAATAAGTATCAGCTTCCCAACAACAAGTTAAAGATACAAGCTTATAAATATCTTATCTTTTGAAAAATGGAAATTATCTCAAATGAACACTGTATATGCTACATAAACATTACCAGGGTTAAGGGTTTTATTAGGTGTACACAATT